ACATGATTTGGATATTTTGAGCTCACAAATCCAAGAGGTTGTTGCATAAATACACGTTCCTTCACATCAAGTTGTTTGATAGACCAATGACGTACAGTAGCAATGGTGAGCATAATCCGAATACTAGTATGCTTAATAATAGGACTAAATGTTTTAGATAAATCAATTTCAACAACCTGATTATATCCTTTAGCAACTAATATGACCTTAAGTCTCTCTAAACTACCATTAGACTTTACTTAGTCTTATAAATCCAACGACAACCTACAATATTCATACTTGGAAGACGTGGAACTAGCTCCTAAGTTGCTTGTTTGAGACCATATAAAGCTATTTGTAATTTGCATATATGATTTGGATATTTTGAGCTCATAAATTCAAGAGGTTGTTCCAAAAATACAGGTTACTTAAGGAAACCATGCAGGAAAGCATTTTTCACATCAAGTTGTTTGATAGGCCAATGACGCACAATAGCAATGGTGAGCACAATCCGAATACTAGCATGCTTAATAACAAGACTGAATGTTTCAAATAAATCAATTTCAGCAACCTGATTATATCCTTTAATGACTAATATAGCCTTAAGTCTCCCTAAACGACCATTAGACTTTATTTAGTCTTATAGACTCAACGACAACCAACAATATTCACATCTGGAAGACATCGAACTAGCTTCCAAGTTGAGTTAACATGTAGGGCTTCAATTTTCGCTTCCATCGCATGATGCCAACATGGATGACTCATGGCAAACTTAATGATTTTAAGTTCATGAGGGATAGCTTAAAAAATAAGAGCACTTGAGATTGCAGCCATAGATGGGAGAATTCGAGGCCTTTGAGTACCATCTTGAGATCTGGTGACCATGTGATGACCAGAATGCTCAGATACTAGTAAGGAATTACATTGGTCGGTTTCTTCAGTAGCAATATTTTCATCATCATGATATATGTATTGCATCATCTTGGACATCTTGGATTGCTGTTGTAGTGGTAACATCTTCATCTATAAAAGAAGTTAGAAAGCTATAGTGGTGATGGGCAAAACAAGACTTGAGGGACTAGATACATCAAGTGCATCCCATATAGATGGTTTAAGTAGAGATGATGAATCAGAAGATGAATGAGTCTGTATATCATGCTCATGACATTTTGACCATTCTATATGGGTGGACAACTCCCCATGAACCTGAGAACTATCTTACAAATAATTGGGGTTAGCAAAATGATAGATATTTTCATAAAATACGACATGTCTAAAGATATAGACTCGCCCTGTCGGCAGATGCAGACATCTGTTAACCTTATGCTGAACTTTGTAACCCAAAAATAAACATGAAAGAAAATGATGACATAATTTGTCTGCAACATAGACTCGAAGGTACAGAAAACACCGACAACCAAAAACTCGGAGTGAAAAATAGCCTGGTATCCCGCCAAACAACAAAGAATATGGTGAATCCATTTGCAAATTGGTCGAGGGAATCATGTTTATTATGAAAACTGCGTTATAGAAGCTTCAACCCAAAATCATTTAGGAATTCCTGTATGAAGCATCATTGTAAGACCCAATTCTACAATATTTCTATGTTTCATTTCAGTTATTCCATTTTGTTCAGGGGTTCATGGACATGATATTTGTTGCTTCTCTTGCATTTAAAATATTTGTTTAATTCTCATTACACCGTATACATTTTTGTTATTCTATACATCTTGTTATAAACAAATATTTCAAACGAATCATTCATGCCTCTTTACATCTTTTTATTTTTACATCTTTCGTTTAACTATCTGTCTCTCGTTTAGCATCTTCAACTCACGTCCTTTATGGATATATATTAAAACCCACTATATTATTTTTATATTTATTTTTTATTTAATTTTTATTTTTTATCACTCATAACCATATCATCTAATCCTCTTATGCCTGGCCCAATTTAACCTTCACGCACAACCTATATTACTCTCTTTACATTTCTTTCCTATCTTGTAATATGTATTTTACTATTTTGAATTATGTTTCTATTAGTATTTACATTTTAAATTAGGGGATTGTATACAATGAGACCATTTAGACATGACATATAACGGATTGAAGTGTGTCACAATATTCGAGAAATTTTATTTTAGACATTGTTCTTAGTTAATGTATTCTCAACCACCCAATTTCACATCTAACAATCAATGGCTATGATATTCGTAAGTGTTGAAGTTTATAGTGACCTACGTAATCTTAAAATAAATAAGTTCATATAAAGTGCCAACCTTATATTATAGAAGTAATATACACCTAAAAAATCTACCAAAAAAAAGTTGATCTGACTGTAGAAAACTCACCAATTGATCATCTCGACTTTTAAATATGTGTGGATGTGTGAAAAAAGGGGTTTGGAGTCATGAAATAGTGCACCATGTAATGTATTTATCTTGATCGCTCATTTTCAAGTTTTCCAAATGTTTATAGATATGCCTGATCTATGTATTTATCTTGATCGCTCACTTTCAAGTTTTCTAAATGTTTATAGATAATGCTTGATCTACACTATTTTTAAAAGTTTGGATTTTATAATTAGACATAAAAATAGATTTTCAGGCATGGGCACTCGTGTTTCATCTTTAGACCTTGTTTATAGGTGCACCGTAGTTTGATTATTTAAAGTTGGTAGCCTTATACAAGTCATACCCATCCTAGAATTATAACCCAGCAAATCTTTGTCATGAATTAGAAAAGAAGGAATTTTTTCTTATTTCATGCTTTGGAAATGGGTCAATTATTCGTTATATAATCCCTCATACTTCAGGTTGATTAGCATCTTTAGGTAATCCGCCAGATCACAAGCAACAATATCTTTTCAAATTTTAAACTTTTAATTTGATTTGTGGGTTTTTTAAGAAAAAAAAAGCCTTACAAGATATTGTTTTTAAGATATCAGCCTTTTTAAAAAGTTATCTTTAACTTTGGCTCTTGTGCCTTTTGCATAAGGGTAAATTGACTGTATTGCTCCTCTTCTTAAGACAAAATAATATGGTCTCTTTTTCTCTCATCTTGCACATTTTTTTCCGTAGTTTCATCCTTCTTTTTATCTCTCTCCATCTAAAAACCCAATTCTTAAGTTTTATCTCTCTCGTGTTCTCTTTCTAAAAATATAATTAACTATTTATTCTCTTACATACTCTCTCTAAACACTTAACTCATTTTTCTTCACTCACATTCCCTCTCTAGAACCCAATCTTTTCCTTGCCTACTCCATATTCTCTTTCTAAAACTAGGTTCAAAAAAAAAAAAGGAAAAAATTTGAAAGAGAGAAATCAAAAAAGAGAGAGAAATTACGTTCTTTTAGTTTCAAAAGGTACATGATATAATGTTTTCTTCATCTTTGGTGTCTATTTCTTCTGCTATGCTTTATGTTGGTTTCTCTCTAAAACTAAGTTCAAACAAAAAAAAAGGAAAAAAATTGAAAGAGAGAAATCAAAAAAGAGAGAGAAATTACATTCTTTTAGTTTCAAAACGTACATGATATAATGTTTTCTTCATCTTTGGTGTCTATTTCTTCTGCTATGATTTCGGTTTTAGAGAGAAGAGAAAAAATAAGAAGAAAATATATAGGAAAAAGTATATAGTAAAACCATTTACTGGCCACAATTAATCATGACTATTGGATGTAAAATTGGTTGGCTGTATTTATTCCATTGGCTAATATCAAAGTTCAAATATTTTTTTTTTTTTTCAAAGTTTGTGACACAACCAAGCTATGAGAATTCACATCAAATTGTCATAATTAGTTGTGACCTCATTGTAGTAATGGTAAATGATCTCATTAAAGGATTGTCTATAAAAAAAACCATATACTTTTTGTAGAAAGAGGTCACAATTATGAATGAAGTTTCTATAGAGCCTAGGCTTATGGAAACAAAATAAAGCCTCTCCTCAATTCCTCATCCACAAAGTACTTTCGGCGTAAGAAATCTTTATAATGATTCTAAAATTAATTTCTAACAACAACGATAAAATTTAAAAGTTAAAAATGGTAGATCTTGTGGATTTGTGAACACCTATTTTAAAAGCAAAATAGATTGTTTAGATAATTTGTTCCAATATACACTATTTTTAAAATTTGGAGTCGTAATGCTTTTACATGATCATAAAGTTCAAGCTGAGATGATCGATTTAAAGGTTTTTGAACAGTTGATTTACAATTTTTAATATGTCATGCCATGAGGCATTACTTATTTTGATAGGGTTGCAGCTCTATCAAACTATTTTTCCACAATTATTTTCACTCATTAGATATCAAATTGGATGATTTGGAGTGATTGGTAAAGTCTGATAAGTTGTTTTTTGAAACTTTGTATCAAATCAATCATACTTTTAGAAATACTCATTTTGAAATTTAAGGGATACAAATAATTGAAACCTCTATGTATAAAAGATAAATGGTCTCTTTATAGACAATCCTAGTATTTAAAGAAAGATAGTAAGAGGACGTGAAATGAGCCGGTTTTTAGATAGAGAAAATGAGATAAAGAAATAATAGGTTGAACTTGTAGAGACATAATAATGAGATGAGGAAAGAATGAGTCGGGTTTTCAAAGAAAAAATATGACTCGAGCGAAGAAACCATGGGAAAAAGATTATTAAAAAAATAAAAAAAAGAGTGAGAGATGAGGTGGACAAAGTTGTAATATTTTTGTTTCAAAAAAAGAGGCAAATTGGTTAATATACCCCTCTTTTAAAAGTGGAGAGCTAAAGTAAAAAATAAAATATGGTGAGGTCTAATTTCTTTAAAAAAAGAAATTTTATAAAGCCTTTTTCTTAAGAAGCCCTTCGTTTTTTAAAATTTAAGTTTTAAAACTTTTTATATTATTTTCATTCATTTTAAATCCAGTCTTTGGCCTCAAGTGGCGGGTACTGTTAAAATCGCGCTTTGTATCTCTCTTTATAAAAGTCATTTTTTAGGGCATTTTAGTCTTTTTAAGAGTTCGCTATAAGAAGGCTGCCACTCCTGTGAAATTCTTGGGTTCGCTTTTTCAGGGATTGTCCATATCAATGATTTTTCGTGTGCCCTAATGGAGTGAAGAGAGGTTATGTTTTTCAATTTGGGGCTTAGGGTAATGGCTTCTCCTGTTAATGCCTTATACTCCCTCTTTCTCTCCATCTCTGCCCCTCCTGTTCCCTGTATTGTGCTTGTTTACATTTCTTCTTTAGTTTTCTTAAGACAGTTTTGTTGTCTTCTGTTTTTTTATCATTTGTGTAGTTCTATGAGCTTATGATTAGTTGAATATTGCATTACTGAATCAGTGATAGCTTTGATTTATTTGGCTAGTTTCCTTTTTGTGGTATATGAATTGCTTTCAGTGATGTGGTACCTTGATATTGCATTTTGGTATTTCTTTTTTGGTGAACACCTTTTCTGTGGTTTATGTGAATGCTTGAATGGAACAATTTGTTTAAGTTCAGCTTCTATAAATTTGCGGTTAAAGTGACATTATTGGCATGATTTCCATGCGGTGTTCTTTATTGATTATTTCAGTGTTTCAATCGACTGGTGAACTTCAGTAATGTTCCTTATCACGATAGAATTTGTCACTAGAACAATGCTGGTACTTTTCTTTCATGAATATTTATTATAAAAGTTATTCAGGATGCATTGGATGTAGTTTCTCCTTTTCATTTCGATCTTCGTAAATATTTTCTATTTAGAATTTTTGAATCTGGTCTGACCTTCACACTGTTCCATGCTTTGTTACTCATTCCATTCTCACCAATGGCCCTAAATAGTGTTTGATTATATTATACAATTTTTCATTTGGCAGGAGCAAAATCTCAATTCGGTTCATGTCATTATGCATAATCAAGGTCTACCATGATTTAAGATTCTGGGTATGAGTGTTCCAGAGGTTTCAAGAATGCAGATGATGGGTGATTCAGAACCGGAGGAGGCCAAGAGGTCCCCTTTGACTCCTCTTGCAACTCTTATTAGTAGAGAATTGAGAAATGATAGAGTGGAGAAGCCATCTTTGAGATATGGGCATGCTTCTCAGGCTAAGAAGGGAGAGGATTACTTTCTGATAAGAACAGATTGTCAGATAATCCCCGGGTTTCCTAAATCTGACTTTGCAGTCTTTGCGGTGTGTTTTTTTTCTCTCTATCTCTCTCTCCCTCCCTCCCTCTTAAATTTGCACTTGCTCATTCGTTCTCTCTATGGACTCTCAGTCTTTGTGGTGTGATTGTTTATTCTTGCTCTTACATATCGGAACAGTTATTGGTAGGCAAGTGGTATTGTAGTACCTCAAAATGCAATGTTCAGCACTGGAATGTTCTTCCTTGTTCATGTAGGTGCAAAATTGTTTTATAAGGTCAAACACATTTAAATTTCCACACGTGACAAGTACACGACTGTTTCTTCTTCTTGGGACATGGCATGTTCAATTATTTTTGTTTGCTAGTGAAGAAGACCCATTTTCTTGATAACCTCTCTTTAATATACATGGTTCTTAATGTTACGAATTAATTGCAGGTTTTTGATGGACACGAGGGGAATGCCGCAGCTCTATTTGCCAAAGAAAATTTGTTAAATCATATTGTGAGTGCTATGCCCCGATGTGCCGATAGGAAAGAGTGGAGTCGAAATTTACCACAAGCACTCGTTGCTGGTTTCGTGAAGACTGACAAAGACTTCCGGAGTAGAGGTATGCATTACTCAATCTTCTCTCTGTTGGGTCTTTCTATGCTTATTGAATTCTCAATCTTTTGTTCCTCCCTTGCTTTATTGGTTGGTGTTATTTAGGCAGTAGTATTTTTTAATCAATTTTATATTCTGTTAAGTGTTTTGTTCTTGCTTTGATTGGTTGTTTATAGTTAGATAGGAGTGTTTTCGGTTTCTATGGTAGTCTGATTGCTTGCGCTAGTTTCATTTGCGAAGTGAGTCTCCTCTCAGATGCATGAAAGCTGATCATGTTTGACTTGATCTTGCTAGGAGATAACTCCGGAACCACTGCTACTTTGGTGATTATCGATGGATGGACTGTAACAGTTGCATCTGTTGGAGATTCTCGCTGCATTCTAGACTTGCACGATGGTGCGGTTTCATTGTTGACAGTGGATCATAGGCTAGAAGAAAATGCTGAAGAGTGAGTGCACAATCAAATGCTTAAAGCTTAGTCGGTGAGGTTTAAGCTGCATTATTTGCTTATAAATATTCATTAATCTTGATAATGCAGGAGGGAACGTGTTACTGCAAGTGGAGGTAAAGTGGGAAGGCTGAATGTTGGTGGGGGTCCTGAGGTGAGAATGACTAATCAATTTCAGGAACTAAGTTTGCATTTTAACCATATAAATGGTTCTTTATATATGTTTCTCAGTGGGTGGCTAAGCAATATATGTTGCTTTGTTAGTTCTGAGGTTAAAGGTCGTTATTGATCTTCTCATGTCATTCACAGGTTGGACCCCTTCGCTGCTGGCCTGGAGGATTATGCCTTTCGAGGTCAATTGGTGATACAGATATAGGGGAATTTATTGTTCCTATACCATTTGTAAAACAAGTAAAGGTGTGATATTTTCAACATAGCTTGTGTATCAGATTCCTTATGTTTGGGTGCTAACTTTCTTACAGAATTGTCTCTTGTCATTTGTTTTTTCTTTTTCATGAAAATTATCTATTCTTGATAAGCTTTTCTTTATCTGATTTCTATGTCATCATCATTTCTTTTCATGTTAAAAGAAATTTCCATGTGCGTGCGCATTCATGTGAGTATTGATTGCATATGTGTACTTTTGAATGCTTATATGTATGGAAACATACAAACACATGGAGACATGCATCACACCTAAGCGCAAACACACATGGCGTGATAGTCGTAAACACTATATTATGTTACGTTTATTGTTGTGGAGTGGGTTCAGTTTCAAAGTGGTTACGTGCCATTATCATCGGCGTGCTCCAATGCTC